TTTTTTTTTTTTTTTTTTTTTTTTTTTGAACAATTAAAACAAAACTTCCTTCCTCGAAAGGAATTAAATTAATCCCGCCCGATAAAGACGAATCGTTCAGATTTATTTGTGTCGTTAAATGCGCGAAATGGAGGACGTTTAGAGCGCGATTCTCGATGATTTGAAACGATCATAAATCAGCGAGGACGAGTATCTCGCGCAAATTGAGAACCCATGGCAACGGGTCCGGCTGGGCCGCTTCGCACAGGGGTTGAAACGAAGGTGAAGGGGGTTTTTCAGGGGTGCTCGCAGGGTGGTTAGTGGCATTCATCGCGATGCAGATGGCTTCCACCCCTCACGCCGCCTCGACGGAGAGAGGAACACGAGGAAACAAGAGGGAGACAGGGGTTGGATGCTGCGCGTATACGCACTTTTTCCCGCGTCTCTCTACCTTCTCTTCTCCTCTTTCCTACCTTTTTCACCCTCTTTCATCCACTCTCCACAATCCTTCGCTCTCTTCTTGTTTCTACTTTATCCTCTTTACCCCTTTTTCATTCTCCTCTTTCTTCTCAATTCTCCTCTCGTTTTTTCCTTGGCCTTGCAATTTCGCGTAATATGCGCTTACATTCGGCCCTTCGGCCCCTCTATATCATTTCCTCTCTTTCTCGCTATTGTCATCCACGGAAGAATTCATTTTTTCGCAAAAAAAAAAAAAAGAAGAAAGAAAGAAAACAAAGGGATCAAAGAAGGAAAAAGCAAAATTGATTAGATGATTCTTGCCATTTCTAAATGGTAAATTATCACGGATTCGTTATTTGAGAGATCGATCTAATTCTGCAAGAAAGTATCGTAGAACGGTAAAGAAAAATTCAGGCGATTCTTCTCAATGGCACTTGATCCAGTGTAAAAATTGCGGAGAAGTTTGCGCGTCACGCTTAGGGGATTTCGGCTTATCAACAGGTAAACGAGTACAACCCCCTCCGCGCCTCTATTTTCGCTCGATGGAAAGTCGAACAATGATCACGGCGTTCGTCTTACACGCACGATTTCTCCTAAGTCACAACACCACCCGATCTCGAACAAACGAGACGCCTCGGATTTAATCCTCGTTTACTTGCAAGGACTCGATCTCCTACCCTCCGCAACGAAGCATCGTCTTCTCGTGAGTATATATGTATATATATATATACATCCTCCATACCAGATAGAGCTCCCCTGTATTTACCTGTCACCTCGATGACGATTCTGACAAGGGTATCTACCCTTCGACGTATATACCCTTCGTCCTTGACGCGATTCGAGCCCAAGAGTCGTGCGCCATCGAGGTCCCTGGATCGTCCTCGTCCTCCGTGAATCGTGCCAAACTCGTCCAAAAGAGCGGCCGCACGTTGCGCGCATTGTGCTCGCAAGAGCAGCAATTTATTGTGTATTTGAAATTATGCAGTCGAGTGGCTGCCGTCTGCCTCCGAGATGGCTACTTTGCACGTCGATTCCTTTCCTTTCTCTCTTCCTCTTTCTCTTCCCTCCCATCCCCCCCTTCTTGTGTACATAAAATATAATATAGTAGCAAGATTTAGACGTTATCGGTTAGCCGGTAGTCGACAATCAACGATTAAACCGAGGAGAATTTAAATGTGAAGGGAAAATGGAGTGGGGGGAATACGAAGGAGGATATTGACGAAAGCATCAATCTCGAGATATATTAGAGTGAGCGGGACAGCCCCGCTCCGCGTAAATCGGTGTGGAACGATCAGCGGCGCGGCTGCGAAAAAAGGAGCAAATCGAGAGGTAATTATTTATCATCGATCTCGGTCGGCGCGCTCATTAGCGCGCTGCCGTGCACGCGGCTCGCTAAATTATTTTCCCCCTCTCCCTCTCCCTTCCCCCTCCCTCCTCCCCTCCTCTCCCCCGCTGCTGGCCCGCCTCTCTAAGGCAGCCGAGGAGGGAATCGTAACATTTTTCACGAAGATTAATCGAGTCGACAAACGGGTTCGATCGTTGAATAATCAATCGAGGCGAGGTGGCGCGTTTAAATAAATCGAGCACCGGCCGATTCCTCCGCTACCCGATTTGCATATCCAGGAACGTGTCACGGTGCACCAAGAGAGAGGCTCACTCACTCCTCTCCTCCTCCTCCTCCTCCCTTCCCCCTCCTCCCTTCCCCCTCCCTATCATTTTTTTATTTTTTTTTTTTTTTTTTTCTTCTTTCTTTTTCTTTTCTTCCAGAGAGGCAGAGCTAGAGCTGAGATCCCCGATTGTCATGAAAATTCTCTGGTTGGAGAACGTGTGTGACGCGCCAATGACGTGCTCGAAACGGGGGCACGGGTTTAGAAAAATGGAGGGGATACGAGAAATTGGCATAAATGAGATTGATACGACTTTAAGTTACTCGACTTGAATCGATCGTGAGCAAGATGAGAATAGAGAGAGAGAGAGAGAGAGAGAGAGAAAGAGGGGAAAAAAATAAGAGAGAAAGTGGTGGATCCTTGGGCCACCTCTTTCGAGCTACTCGTCACGCCACTTTGCGCGCCCTGAACAGACAGGAGCAAAGAGCAGAGGAGAGAGTTCGGCAAGGTACGCCCATGCCGTTGACCGACGCGATGCTCACCTTCCATTATGACAACGCCATGGAACGTGTTTTGCGGATAATGACGATGGAACGAGAACTCCTGGTGGTGGCTGCTCCTCGCCGGATCTGCAATTTCAACTGGGGATGGCTGTAAGTGTTTACCAAGAGCCTTAGGGCGAATTTTTTAGTCGTTACGTATAAATTTTTTTTTTCGCGCTTCTTTTAAATATTGTAAATTGTAATTATAATTGTAATTATTTGTAACGCGAAATATTTAACACATTGCGGACCGATAGTTTTATCAGCTTTATTTTCGAGTATGTTTCGATAAATACTTTTACTGGCAAACAAAATTGAAAACTCGAGAATTCTCGTGATCTGTCTGCAATGTGTTAAACATTTCGTGAAACTTTTAACTGATATAATTTGGCGAGAAAATCGTACAACGATCTATCTCGGCTCGTTGTAAAGGGTAAAGCTTCTACTTTTACATTCCTCGATTAAATTTTTATCGAGGAATGAAAAATTGATAAATTTTATAAGTTTTATAATAATATATAGTTTAAACAATTATTTTTGCAATTTCTTTTCATTCGATAAATTTGTAAAAGGAAGCTTCCCCTTTACAATGATCCCTGAAATATTTATAAGTTTGATTTTTTATCGCCATTTTATCGCACATTTGAATTAAATGTGTGCAATCAGTAATATGTATGCATTTATTCGTTGTATTATATTTTTTTAGTAAATACTTGTATGTTTAATGTGTGCTTAATATTTATAATGCATATTTAGGAAAAAACAAACGTTTTTTTTTTATTATTTTTTAACAATTTCTCTCTTTTCTAACAATGTATATCTCTTGATAATTCTCTAATATTGCATTATCATATATTAAGCACACACTAAAAAATTATTATATTATATTATAAATTTATACAACTCTAAAATATAAAAAAAATTGTCGAGTCAATTGTTAATTAAAAAATATGTAACTTTAATTGTAAATTATATTCAATAAATGTTATTTTTCAATAAATAAATGTATTTTATCTTTAAAAAACACTTATTCCTAAACCTACATTTTTTCCAATCCTTAGATTTAAGTAAATTGTTAAAAAATGATTGAAGAAAGAAAAAAATGAAGAAAGAAACATTCGTAAGATAAGTATATAAAAGGTAAGTATATAAAAGGTAAGTATAAGGTAAGTATAAGGTAAGTATAATTTTGTTAAAAAATTGTTAAAAAATTCATTAAATTCTTGGAATTATTAAAATTCATAAAATAGAATAAAAGTTTTGGCGGAAAACTTGATTTTGTAACAGGAGAATATAAGTTGACAGGAAGTCTTGGAG